ATTACTGGCGAAAGCTCTGGGTCACTATCATACCCTGCTGAGATCTGATTCGCAATTCCTTGATTCACATCCAGAGAGAACTCGATTCCATTCAGTTCCAAGTCTGGTCGACGTGACAACGGGTCTGCTATGTTACACTTCCCTGGCTTGTGATGTACCGTGTAGTCATAGTCGGCAAGGAATTCAATCCATCGAGCCTCTCTTTTGGTTAAGTTTGGTTTGGTCCTGAGGTAGACAACTCCCATGTTGTCGGTGTAGAGTTGAAAGTGGCGAAATAGGTAGACTCGCCAGCACTGCAGGGCGTACACTACAGCCAAAGTTTCTCGCTCGGCGGCCGTGTAATTCCGTTCGGCAGAAGACAGCTTTCGGCTCACGTAAGCCACAGGATGCCAGGACTGGTCCTCTGCTTGCTGCGTTAAGACTCCTGCCACAGCAAAGCCACTTGCGTCAGTCTCAACGCGGAAATCCTGACTGACGTTTGCTAGTCGCAACACTGGTGCATCCAGCAGAGCAGACTTCAATCGCTCAAATGCCTCCTGTCGAGTCTGATTCCACTCGAAGCGCACATGTTTCCCTGTCAGTTCCTCCAGGGGTTTGGAGATGGCCGAGAAATGGTTAATGAACCTTCGAAAGTAATTAGCGAATCCCAGAAACTGTCTTACGTGCGTGACCGTCGTCGGGACAGGCCAGTTATGCACGGCCTTGATCTTCTCTGGATCTGGAGAAATGCATTGGCCGTCTATCCGGTGCCCAAGAAACAGAACGTCTGTCCGGCCGAATTCACATTTAGACGGTTTGCAATATAGCTCATTCCTCCTGAGGGCGTTTAAGATGGTTCTGACATGATCGAGGTGCTCCTCCCATGATTTGCTGAATATGAGGATATCGTCTAGAAACACCACAACGAATTTACGCAGGTATGGCTGGAGGACACTGTTCATCAAGGTTTGGAATGTTGCCGGGGCATTTGTTAGGCCGAAACCCATCACTGTGAACTGAAAGTGACCGGATGGGCTATTTATTGCTGTCTTCGGAATATCTGTTTCTTCTATTCGAATCTGGTTGTAACCGGACCTCAGATCTAGCTTGGTGAAATACGCACTGCCTTGGACGGTATCAAAGAGGTCGTCAATATTCGGTAGGCATGCCTTGTTCTTAATGGTTATGCGGTTTAGCTCACGCCAGTCGCATACCATTCGAAGTGTTCCATCCGCTTTCTTAACGAAGAACACAGGGGCTCCGTATGGGGATTTGCTGGGCGGGATGAATCCTCTACGGAGCAGCTCGGTGAGCTGAGCTTGAAGCTCATCCATCTCTGGTTTTGGTAAACGATATGCTGCACGAGATGGCGGTTTAGCTCCTTCTTCCGTTTTTATCTCGTGATCTGCGCCTCTTCTGGGTGGCAGCTTGTTTGGAAGCTCATCGGGAAAGACGTCCCCGAACTCCTTCAGCAGGTCCTTGACATCCTTCTGATCCTCCCTACCCGGACTATCCACCGTCTGTGGCTCGTCCAGATCTGCTGTCACATACGCTAGGATTCCTTCTGCGCCACCTCTCATTGCATGCCTAGCCTGCTTCCCTGAGATGAGGAACGTCTCGATCGGTGGGTTGGATTTGTCCGTGCCATCACTTTCACTCGGTTGACAGATGATGGATCCACCCTCCAGGTTGATTGCATTGGTACGAAAATTGATCTGTGGGTTCGTCCGGGTCAGCCATGGTTTGCCGAGGATCACGTCATACCGCGTCATAGGGAATACTAGGAACTGTTGGTGCTCGCTAAAGTCGCCGACTACGGTCTTTAAGCTGTCCGTTTTCGTAATAGGCTGTGAGCGGATCCATCAGCAAGTGTGACGTTCAGGACGTCGCTACCGGTTGTTGTGGAGATGTTGTGCTTCTTGACAAAGTCAGTTGAAATGAAGTCGTGGGTTGACCCAGAATCCAGTAGCATGGTAACGCGACGTCCATTTATCTTGCCCTGGACGCGCATTAGGTCGTGTTCGTTGTCGGCGGAAATGCTCCCTGTGCTGGCGGTTACTTCATTAGGCCGGCCAACAGTATCAGGTGACGAATGCTTGACAGGCGAGGCTTGAATTTCGGTCTCCTCGAGGCGTGGTTCCTCATTTGCTAAGGGGCTGAATTTGTTCTGAACTATGATTCGTGGCCTATTCCTGGGTGCTCTCGTGTTCGCCAGTAGTCGCACTCCCTTCCTTACTGGCGTCCATCGTTTAAAGAAGGCTTGCTTGTGGCGTTCCTCCCTCCTCCCGGACAGAATCTGGCAATATGGCCGGGTTTCCTGCAGGTGAAACACAGCCTTGAACGACCCTCTGGCTCCCTGGTTTCTCTCCCACCGGATGGTGTTGGTCGGCTTGACCAGGGTCCAGGCTGGCGCCTCTGATGCCCTGGTGCGCGCACTGCCTTGGCGTAGCTTGCTTGGGCTAGCCGCATCGACTGGTCTGCTGAGACCGCAGCTCGTATGGCTTGGGCCAAATGTTGCGGATGCTCCCTAAGTACGTCACCGCTTAGGCCCTGAGCCAGCCCACGCGTGAACAAGATAGCTCTGGAGTGGTCATCAAGCTCGGGAACTTGTAAGCTAAGCCGCGAAAATTTGTTGATGTATTCGTCAAGAGTCTCATCTTGGTGAAGAGCGAATAAGTCGATGCGCGCCTGTTCCCTGTCATAAACCGGGCCGTACACTTCTCCCAGCTTGCTCTTCAGGTCTGGCCAGTCGGAAAACAGCGTGTTTGCCTCCTGAGAGGCGATAAACCAAAGACGAGCGTTGCCCTCCAGAAAACTCGCCGCGTAGCTCAAGCGCTCCTCCGCGTTGTCCAGCTGCAGGGACTTCATGGCGAGTTCGATGGCGAAGGCCCACTCCTTGAACTCTCTTGTATCTCCACGAAACACAGGCGGAGACTTAACATGGCGCATGCGTGGCCTCTCTTCGCTGGGAGCTTGAGCACGTCTTGGCGTTTGATCTGATCCATCGCACTGACCGAGTGCGATAAGGTGATTCAGACGCTTCCGAATCTCGAATATACCGTAGGCGACTAATGCGGCCACTGCGCATAGCCCGAACACGACGAAAAGAACAACCATCCTCTTGCTACCAGTGTAACAGTCCAACTAACTTCAGTAGTCATTCTTGGAATAAGCAATGATCCTTGCCATAATGCATTCTTATATACATGAACAAGCAATGATGGACATAACACCTAACAGCAGCAGCGTGATAATAGCAGGTGATAAGTGTATCCTATTCCTAGTGTTAGTAGTAACAGTGAATCTGTTACAGCATCGTACGTTGGTCGGAAGCTGGCGGTTGCGAAAAAGAACCACACGGCTGCCGAGCTAGAAACATTGGCAGCCGTCTACCCAGTGAGGTGCTGACGGATTTATCTCTTCCTCCACTATGATTTATTCACTAACATCATGGTTGTTGTGTATTTGGGAATAAAAGCAAACGTTAAAAAATGAGAGGCTAGGTGGATAAAACTCCTGGCGGACTATGATTTCTCAGTCCATCAAAGAAGAAGATTGCCTGATGAGTCCAGCGGGGACGAAACGTACGTCGCAATCGAGCTATGTCGTTGCTGTGTCATCATCTATGTGCCATGCGCTAATTGATGTACCAGCCTGCTATGCCGGATACCGCCAGCCATGCATCGACCAGGCGCCAGGCGCGAACTGATGGTGGTGGTGGTGGTGAGAAGGAAAGCTCTGTGCCAGAACTTTGCAGCCTAGAGAGCGTGTGTGGGCAGGCGTGTGTTTACCGCCATATTGCCAGGTGTGTCTTTACCACCATATTTATCAACCATCAAAGTCCGGGGAAGAGTAACATAGTGGACACACTCTCCCGCCGACCAGACTTGGAAGTAAATGGTATCGAATATTCACGTTACGTTCACCAAGGTACGGCTCGACAAATTTCGGCAGCATATGGGAACGATCTGGAGCTGACACAGATCATCAGCCGCTTGAAGGCGTGTGCCAAAGACTCCATGCATGACCGCTACCTCCGGAATGACCTAGACCAACGACTCTATCTTTTATCAACAGGGGATGCTCGGCTGTGCATTCCCCGTGGACCGCTTCAGCCGCAACTTTTCAAAGAAAATCACGACTGCCTCACAGCCGGATACCCTGGACGAGACTGGACGTACCTCAAACTCTCCAGATGCTTCTACCTGACCGGCATGAATTAATCCGTCAAAGAATTTGTCAGGTCGTGGAACCGTTGCCAACAAGTAAAGGGAGGACAGACAAAGACTGGTTTACTGCAGTCTCTTCCGCTTCCTGAACAATCTTGGGCCGACAGCAGCATGGATTTCATCATGGCGCTCCCCTTAACAGCCAGAGGTCCTAGCGCTATATTCAGCTTCGTTGATCGACAGGCTCGAGGCTGAGATCAAGTGTCCCTGCGTCAATCTGGACAATATAACAATGGCACATCATCCGATGCCTTCTGACAGACATCACAATAAAAGTAATGCTGAATAACATTTTCAGCCAACCATTAGTCACACATAATGGAACCCCACAAGGTGATTCTCTATCGCAGTCCTATTTGCTGTCTACCTCGAGGCTGCATTGAGGTTGATTCGAGAGCGACTCTCACCGCGACCAGCATTGGATATTCAGCTACAATTGCCTTATGAAACAGCGTATGCGGATGACGTAGACTTCATCAGCACCAGCCTACAATATTTGCACGACAATCAAGTGAATCAACGCATATTATCATCCTCGTTAGCGCAGTACAATTTAAAAATGAATGAAGCCAAAACCGAATATACTACAATTAAAAGAGAAAAGGACAGAGTAGGTGAGCGATGGCGGAACACAGTCAAACTAGGATCGATGCTTGGATTGGAGGAAGATATCAGTCGGAGGAAACGTCTAGCAACATGTTGCCTTACATTAGCTGTGGGTGATATGGCTAAGAGGTAACCCTGCCCGTGAACCCCTCCGGATTAGGTTATGCGCAATGGGCTTATACTTACCATAGCAAATTGGTTGACTGCCGGACCAGACACTGGATGGCTGACACCTGCGTGTCACGCTGCCCAACCGCAAGTAGCCCGTGTCACAGGTGAAGCTCAACTCGCTGTTGTAGATAGTGCTGTCACCAGTGCGATCGCCATTGGGTGGGATGCCTGGGTCCCCGCAGTCCACAGCTGGGGGTCCCGCAGAGAAACACACACAAGGAACACAGACACAAACATAAACACATACAATACAAAGGAAGAAGTGAGGATTGCCTGTGCGGACATTAATTGACCTTCGCTATGCGTTAACAGTGCTTAGCTAACGGTGTGCTTGTTTCATGGGTCCACTCTCACATCTGGTATTATCTAGCTATTTGCTGTGGCTCTGCCTTGCTCCCTATTACTTGCATTTAGCATTCCAGATACCGGTATACGTTGTGCTAACATTAGCTCTACATTGAGCTAACAACAGCTCTACTTTGAGCTAACAGCAGCTTTACTCTGAGCTAACAGCAGCTTCACTCTGAGCTAACAGCAGCTCTAGTCTGTCCCAACAGCAGCTCTACTCTCAGCTAACAGCAGCTCTACTTTGACCTTCAAACCAGTTATTCCCAAACAAGCACTCCTCAATCCAACGATGCCTTTTCGTTGACTTGTTTGTGTGAGTGGAGGGGCCAAATCCACGTAAGCGTTTTCATTATTATTATTATTATTCACTGGTTTGGGGAAAAGACGAAGACGGGAAAAGTCTGAAAAAAACTGACTGTCACCACCAGGACTCGAACCAGGGACCCTCGCTTTTAGCCAGCGATGCTCTAACCACTGAACTATGGTGTAGTCGTCATGCCAACAGAGACTGTTCAACATTTTCTTCAGACTTCTTAACTCACGCTTCCTGTGAATCCATACAGGCGGGTGGGACGCAGCCCTCACTGTAACCCACACACTTGACGTACAAACTAGCACGCAGGAGCCCCAAGTCATAAGATATTCACTGATTTGAGGAAGAAAATTGACTTTCACCACCAGGACACGAAACATTTATTATTATTAAAATTTGAATAGGGCAGTGTTTGGCTGGGGAAAGTTATGATATTGTTTCTCCTTTCTTCCTTCTGTTGAGGAAGAGCTTAGTATTTATTGACTGGACTCTGGATAATGGGCGACCAGAAATGGCAAGTCTGACGTAGTGGCACCCTCAAGCCCGGCCATCCCAGCGAGGCACAGCTAAGACAGTCGGTTCAAGAAAATTCAACAAATATTCTTCAAAGCTCAACATTGCCACGTTCAACGTACTTCGCCTGGAGGCGTTATTGAAGACTCCTTTTTCCTAGTTGTCTTCGCTTTCATAATATTGGGCAGAACTGCCCGTTTGACATGCGATGTAAACTAAATAAACAACAACAACAATAACAACCACAAGACAACTACTTTTGACCAGAGACTTTGCGAGGTGCGGAGTGGACGTGTGCTCTCTAGAGCAAACAAAAGTCACAGACGGACTAGACGAATCCATCCTTGGACACCGTCTCATCTGTTTTCCTACGAAAAATTATCACTATGGCCTCGGGTTCGCTATCTCAAGTCGCCTTGAAAATCATCGCTACTACTCATCGCAGTATAGGACCGTGTCGCGGTCCTTATGTTCTCCAGTAGCCCCACAACTCTAGCTTCTGTAGGCCATGGACAGAACGTCGCCTTGGGAAGACCATTCATGGTCATTTTCAACGCATACGCACCGACGTCGACGAGATGTGCGTAAAAGAACGCTGAGCTACATAAATTCTACGAAGACTTCACTGCAGCGTACTCAGAGGTCAGTAGCAGTGTCCTATTGTACAGCTGTGGCAATTTCAACGCGAAAGTTGGCAGTGGCCGGAGAAATGCAAACTGTTTGGGATCCCATGGTAGAGGCAGACAAAATTTCACTGGGGACACATTGGTTAATTAACTTCTGTGAAACTAGTCAACTCTACCTGGCAACTTCTGCGTTCAAGCAACCTGCCAGAAATATTACGACCTCGACTGGCTGGAGGAGAGACAAAGCAGCAGACCAATTAGTCCCTCTGTAACCGGTGAGACGTTGTGGAAGGTAAAAGGCTGTCTAGTAGCAACATAGCCATGCTAAAGGATGTAGGTGAGAACACAAGGTGAGAAACTGATAGTATGAGTCAGAGTAGTGAGTATGACTAAGCGTGTAAGGATGAGGTGTATCCCCCTGTTACACCACCCCACCCCCTCAACTGTGAGAAGTGCACTATATATCGCACTAGAGAAATTCAATGCAACTATAAATGATTCAAAGAATGCAATAATGCAATAACAATAATGGTTGCCTGCTTCATCCAGTAAATATTCTTCTGGCTCCAACGTTGCCTCTTGGTAGCCCAGCCATTTAACAAGGTACTACCTCCCTCCCATTCGGTGCGAGAGTACCTTATCGACGACGTACCTGGTGTGTCCATTAATACCCGTGAGTGGTGACGGTACTGGATGTACAGGGTCAAGCATTTGGTTAGGGTAGTACTTCTTTAGTGCAGTCACCTTGAAGACCGGATGAGTAGATTTGAGGAGATACAGCCGAATGAGTCTTTGAGAAAAGAGGGCTCATTGCAACATGTTTGAAAGCCAGATAAACCTCACCATGCCTCAGCGATGACCTGAAGAGCGCTGAAAGTAATGGAGGCAACAGGTCAGCGCAAGCACGTAGCAAAGACCCAGGGATCGCATCACTGCCTGTGGCTTTACAGGGATTCATCCGTTCCAGGTGCTGCGCGATCTCATCTGAGTTGATTTACTGTAAGGTCAGCATTGATTCTTGCAGCTGTGAGTCGATGGGAATCTGGAGCTGCTCCGGACGGGACGGATCATGTACAATGCTGTGTAAGACATCAATGGGCTTCCGTGATGTCGCACATTGGCTCATGATGTTGACGATAGTGGCTAGTGACAGAGTTGATCACGGACCACATCATCCGCAGGTTGGAGAAGTGATCAAGACAGTGCTGTTGAAATGCTGATGCATTTGAGGCGTATGAACGTGCTCGATTGTACTCCTCGCGAAGATGCACGCTGGTCTTATCTCGTAGCCATTTTCAGTGAAGTCTACTCGTGCGCATGTTCGGTTGAAATAAATCATGCTCGGACCATGGCGGAGGAGTCCTCCTCGTGGAGATTCTGATGTCAGGCATGTAAGCCGAGCGTGACTGTTGAGAACCGACATAAACTTGGAATGCCAGCCATTCCACATCTCGTCTACAGTTGCAGTAGGGGGAAGGAGTGGAGGCTGCAAGAGGCAATATCTTCAAGAAGTGCTGCAAGGTTGATGGCACGGATCTTGCGGGTGAGGCGCACTGATTTACGCTACAGTGGGTGTTGCGAGGACAGTAGAGACAGACTTGCCTGCACAAGAAAGTGATCAGTCAGCGTGCAGGGCAAAACCTTACAGTGACTTATAGCACCCACGACGCGTATAGCCTATTGGCTTGTAGTCTTGGCTGCGAACCATGAGCCGTTCCGAGTTCAAACCTGCGCTGGTAACAGGGAGTGTTTTCAGTGCTCTCTCAATCGCGGTGATGCCCGCGAGTACCACTTTACCTGCAATGAACTATGCCGGCACCCACGGTGAACTGGGTACTCACTGGCTCGGTGTGAGGGTAAGGATGCGGTTTATGGGATTATAGGGCCTTTACATGCCCTCTTGTTAAGAGACTTATCCCCTATCCCCTGACTCACTTGTGAGATCTGCATTCGCCACTAAGGATAATTATATGAGCGAAGTGGTGGCCCGCCGATGGGAATGTATTGGCTTGATGTGTTCCTCAACACGTCAGGTGATACGCCCTTGAATCCAGTTCACAATTTTAAATTGTTATAGCATCACCCGTACTCGTCGGCAGACCGCCTGCTGAGTTGCTTCCAAATGTTACTGATGAAAGTAGGCCATCACTGTACTGCAACAGAACACCACAAGATGCGGCAACGACATCTGCACCAAGTAGAAGTGGGGCATTGACCACATCCAGCGTCGCGACGACGGATGCTACTACTGATACGACCGGTAAGTGAACAGGACCATCATTGCGTCGTAGCTGAAGTTCAATACTGCCAAGCACGTCCAGGGGCTGGCCATCCAATGCCAACGGAGCAGCACAGTGATCGGAGGAGAATGACAATCTATGCTGCTTGAGAAATGCTGCAGAAACAAATGTACGACTGGCACCAGTGTCAATAACTGCCGTGTAACGCATCCAGTCGCCATCAGCCGCATGGACATCGACATAAATCATCGGCAACTTCATGGGTTGTGCCACAGGTGCACACAACACTCGGTCCGGGGTGGCTTTGCTAGTGGGCGATGTTGGCTGAACACCAGCCTCTCCCACGGCAGCAACAGCATTCTTCTGACTGTCAATCCATTTGCGCTTCATGGGGCAGTCCTTGATCATATGGCCCTCCTCCTCACAGAAATGACACTTTATACGGGACGATTGCTGACCCTTCTGGCGGCGGTTTGGACACTCGCGTTTCAATGTCCAACAGTTTTACAGTGAAAGCAGACAACTCACCTGGCACTGCTACTCACACCAACTCGAGATTGGTCACCACCACTGGCACCATCAGGCTTGGGTACAGCTGCAACAGCTGCATGCTGCAGTCGAGGTCGGGAGTCAGCCACTGCGTTCCGCAATGCATGCACGCGTTGCAAACATCCGCTTACCGTGAGAGCTTGCCCAGCCATGCTGAGCCGGATTTCCTTGTCGAAATCACCAGGTAAGCCCAGTAGAAACTGTTCAATAATCACGGGATCCTGATCGGCATTACCGCCGCTGCGGTGACCCGAAATGCCAAGCAGGCGCTCCAAATCCGCAGCATAGGCGTCCAGCGACTCATCCATCCTCAACCGACGGCGTACGAAACTTTGGTACGCTTGGGCCGTTGTCATTGCAAATGCCGATAACATCTTCTCGCGCACCTTATCTTCGACTTTTTTGTCCGCGTCCGACATCTTGGTGAAAACAAGAAACCCATCTTGATCGAGACACAAGGGCAGATGCTTCATGCGTTTAGTCTCATCGTCCCAACCCTGAACACTCGCGAGCACCAAGAATTTGTTGTGGAACACCTTCCAACTATCCTGGCCAGTAAAGGGACGAACGTAATTATCGACTTTGAACGACATACCGGAA